GCGCCGTTCGCCTCGGAGGTGCTGGCAGATGTAGGGCGTGTGGTTGCAGAACTTGGACACCGAGTATCCGTTCACCCTGGCCAATTCACTCAATTTGGATCACCAAGGAAAGAAGTTATCGAAAACTCCGTTCGCGATCTCGAGTATCACTCGGAGATGCTCCAGCTACTCAAACTTCCCCCACAGCAGGACCGCGATGCGGTCATGATTCTTCATATGGGTGGGGTGTTTGGTGATAAGGCCGCCACACTAGATCGGTTCCGAGCGAACTACGCTATGTTGTCACAGGACATCAAAAACCGGTTGGTTTTGGAGAATGACGACGTGAGCTGGTCTGTTCACGATTTACTGCCTATTTGTGAGGAGCTCAACATCCCTCTCGTTCTCGACTATCACCACCATAATATCATTTTTGACGCCAATGAGGTCCGAGAAGGAACCGAGGACATCATACCTCTCTACGAACGTATATCAGCAACATGGTCTCGGAAGAATATCACTCAAAAAATGCATTATTCCGAACAAACTTCACCCGCCATCACACCACGCCAACGGCGCAAACACAGTGCCCGCGTTACTACTTTGCCCCCTTGTGCACCTACCATGGACCTGATGATCGAGGCCAAGGACAAAGAACAAGCCGTATTTGAGTTGATGAGAAACTTCAAACTCCCCGGCTACAATCTTGTGAACGAAATTATACCCTTCATGCGCCTTGACGAAAACCAACCATTCAAACCACCCAAAAAATCCAAAAAGAACGGCGGCTTCGTGGACCTTGAAGGCTCAATACCACCGCCTCGCACCATCCCAGACGAAGAAGTCGGAATGGGTGGACCGGATGGTCGAGTCTACTGGCCCGAGGGCATGGAAGAATGGCTCCGACCGGCAAAGAAAATCGTGAAGCCTAAAGCCACGCCAAGTCCTAAGAAAAGCGCCATCAAAAAGGGTAAGTCTGAGTCTGTCGCAGACGATTCCCCCCTAGATATACCTATCGAGATGGAAACGCCAGTAAAAAAACCCGTCCGGGCCACGAAACGCACGCCTCCTTCGAGCAGGTCTCGGAAGCGCAAGGCTCCGGTGATTGAGTCCACCCCAGAGTCTGAAGAGACTGAAAACACAGAGGAGATTTCAGTGGAACTCGACAGTGCTCCGGCTTCGATATCACTTTCTCGACGAAGTTCACGTGCGAAGAAAGTGAACTACACCGAGGACAGTGCATAATTGGCGCTTGGTAGTTATTGTGTATTAGTACGACGATTTCTATTATCAGATATCAAAGAGCGAGAGGATTTATGACTAGATTATAGATCATTGATCAAAAATATATCCCATCAATGCAAAGCACTTGGGTATCTGCCTCTGCTTCCATATAAGCTCATATTTACGCAAAAGCCACCCCTCTACAACCAATATGTTACATATATACATGAAAATCGTGCTTAATGATTTGATAGATGATTATTTTTTAGTAGTTCAAACAAAAAAAAAAAGAACAAAAATAGTATACCTCAATTTAATACCAAAATGTTCGGTCGCAACGCGGTGAGACCATCCGAATAATCATCGTCATGGCCGATCTCTTCCCCGCAACGAATCAACTTTCTACAGCCTTACTCCATACTCAATTTGGCTTTCTCTCTCTCGGAATACTCTTACCCTGATTGAAAATCATAGCACACGGGATCCTGGCGCCTAAATCACGTTTCAGTTGGCCAATCCTCCGGTCGAGGCCCTCTCTCTTCAGACGTCCGCCTACCACCCTTTTCCCTTCCTCCCCCGCGAACCTCGACCCAGTAGGCTCTCACGTATACTCCGTCTGATCATCGGCGCACACGGGACCAGACGAGCCCAAACCCGTCTCTGGGGCATCCGGCACGAAACCCTGCCCGCGCTCCGACACCGGGCCCAATCGCGAGTCTACCGAGCGATTGTCCAGCGACAAGCGCGACTCGCCACACGCGATAGCAGACTTGGCGGACGCCTTGTAACTTATCTTCTCGGAATCCGGCGACAGCCAAGGCCGTGGAAATCCACTACAGTAGCCGGCAACAAGCCAGCTACAAGATACCCGAAGTCGATCCGACAGCCCCGCCACGGACCGAAGGACACAACCATAGACCCAATGTCGCAATCTGGACTTTCATCAACATGGGGGCCGGGTGGCGGCGATGGTGCTTCTGCCCCTGGTAGCCGCCGCAAGAAGGTCTACGAATATTTCAAAGCAGCCAATGAGCTACGTCAGACCTATACCTCACAATGGTCGGGGCAGAGGAATGAACACGATGAGGACTACTACAATACCCCTGGTGCATTCCCGGATGTCGAAATTGCACGGTCAGGCGATGAGGAGATGGTGGTATTCCCCAGTTATGCCAGGAAATTGTCAGAGAAAAGGAGCACCGGTACCAGCACCCGTCCGCGACGTGACTCGTGGTCGGAAACTATCGATGATTACCGGGGTGCAAACCATGAGGATGATGATCTTTCCTCGTCTAATTGGGATGCATCGGAGACTGAAGATGCAGTCGTGGCCGTTGATGTGCGTGGCTGGATCTATTCTCCTGGTCGGGGACCGATGAGCCGAAAGCACCGGTTGATGATTGCTCTGGCCAGGAAGCTGAGCGGGATCTCTGCGCCAACTGGAACTACAAATGATGAAAGTAATGACAGGGTTTCTGGGAAGGGCGATGATGAATACATCGACAAGGAAATCCAGACATTAGTCGCCAAAGCTGAGAAAGAAGCGGACCCAGCTTGGAAAGGCTCGAACGCGGAGCAGACACACCAACCCACTGCACCATTGAGTAAAGATGAATTATCTATAGCGAATGCCCATCTGATGGAAAGACTTCGTCCATTCTTGACAAATCCCGTTGGCAGCATGCCAGTGACAGTGTTCTTCTTCAACAACGATGAAAGCAAGTCTCGAAATATTTTGACGGATGAATCAGGCCATTTTACTCTTCGCGCTACACTGCCATTTGTGCCAACTCACATTCGTGTCTTGGCATCCGAGGACCTGTCTGTTGCAAGGCCGATTGAGGTCATTGATCCGGTTGGAATCAGTTTGATCAGTGACATCGATGATACAGTCAAGCACTCAGCCATTGCCAGCGGAGCGAAAGAGATGTTCCGAAACACCTTCGTCCGTGAATTAGATGAACTTACAGTCGAAGGAGTCAGCGACTGGTACTGCAAACTGGCCAATGAGGGTGTGCAAATTCACTATGTGTCAAATGCTCCCTGGCAGTTGTATCCTCTGCTTGAGCGGTACTTCAAAATGGTGGGATTACCTCCGGGCTCCTTCCATCTCAAACAGTACTCGGGTATGCTTCAAGGAATCTTTGAGCCCACCGCAGAGAGGAAACGGGGTTCATTAGAACAAATTCTGCGCGACTTCCCGGAACGAAAATTCATTCTTGTCGGTGACAGTGGTGAAGCTGATCTGGAGGTTTACACTGAGATCGTGTTGGCAAATCCTGGCCAGATCCTGGGCATCTTCATTCGTGATGTTACGACCTCAGAACCCCAGAAGTTCTTCGACAAATCCGTGGGTCATCTTGACCAGTCTAAACGCAGTCGCAGTTCACCAAATGTAGTGGACCACTCGGATGCCACTACCAACAGACCGACACTACCACCTCGTAGTGGCACGACTGTTGACTCTACAGTGCCCATAGACCATCATGAACCAGATCCAAAGGACCTTGACCTTGAAGACCTGATTGATCTCACGGATCTCATCATCGGGGATCAGCCACCTCCAGCGGGGCTTACACACCCCGCAACTCCACGACCACGTCCAGCGAAACCAATCAAACCATCTGCACTACGCATGGTTTCTACGCCAGCCGATTTGGCGAAGAGTTCCAGGCCATCCTCTCTGCGCAACGTTGCTACACCTTCCAATGGGCCAGAAAAGGAAACCAACCCGGAGGCAGCACAAGAGGCACCCAAGCGCAAACCAGTCCCGCCTGTGCCACCCAGACGCGGAGTGCCCAAGACAGATTCATTGATTGATCTGGATCCCTCCCCTTCAACCCCTCAGAGCAGCGCCGAGACATCAACGAATGAAGTTCCTTCTTCGTGGCTCAAAGGCCTCGATGATGGCTCTGCAGGTGCTCAGAGTCAATCGCAAGCTACACGCGCCAAGCCACCACCGCCTCGCCCCCCTCCACGTCGTACAAACACTGCGTCATCAACAAGTTCAGATCCCAGTGTATCAACTACATCAACCACGCCGGCTCGGACTCCGGCTCCTGCGAGTGGCATTCAATCATACCCAGCGGCAGCCGCCCAGGCTGCATACCAGGGGTTCCAGTATGCAAGCGACCGGCTCAACTTCTCGGGATCGGCCTCTGGGCCACGAAATTCGCCATCCAACCAATCACTTAGGAGAGTAGGGTCCAATGAGTCGGAAGTGCCGTCTGCGCCCCTCCCAAATAAGCGCGAAGAGCTTTGGCGACGTCGTTGGGATCGCGCAAGCGAAGTGCTTGAACAGCACGGTGTTGTGCTAGGCAGCTGGCGGGTTGGAAACGATGCGCAGCCTGTTTGTGCGTGGTTAATGGAGCAGGCAATGAAAGATATCAAGGCTGGTCGTTCGAAGGGACATTATTAATGGCGTGTAAACATAGGATATGCTAAGATGTGCTCCTGACTACACTCCCAGTTGTTCTAAGAGATATATTTTAGAAACGAAGTTTAGCCTCTGATACATTGAAAGAAGCATTTTCACTTTGATATTTCTCAACCTAAAACAATATATAATTATTGTACATCGTACAGTTGATCTATCGGTAATCCGAAGCTGATCCCGAGGTTCTCGTTGGTAGAGCGTTGGGGTTGTAGCCAAGAGACCCGACGATGCTGACATCACATTTCTCGGGCCTCGGCTCAATTTGAAACAGCAGTTGCATGATTGGCGACTTATAATCTGGGGTATTTACTCGTAACCCCTCGCATTATTTTCTCCTTTTACGCATACGGAGTACTAAAACATGCCATCAGAAACTCTCACACGTGCCGAGATCGCAAAGCACAACACCGAGGATTCCCTCTGGTGCATCATCGACCACCAAGTCTATGATCTAACCGATTTTGTCGACGCCCACCCCGGTGGTGCCGTCGTGCTTACTCAGGTTGCTGGCCAGGACGCAACATCCGATTTCTACAACCTGCACCGCCAGGAGGTACTGGAGAAATACCGTGACCAGCTTTGCATCGGTGTCGTCGAAGGCGAAACTCCCGAGGTTATCGTGCCCGCCCCTGGAGCTTTGAGCCCCGTGCCTTACGCAGAACCCCTATGGCTACGGCCCCAATTTAAGTCCCCTTACTACAAGGAGACCCACCGACGTTTGCAGAAGGCCATCCGAGTGTTCACAGATAAATATGTGACGCCCGAAGCGCAAGAGAAAGAGCAGGATGGCACCTACATCAGCCAAGAGCTAATCAACCGCATGGCCGAGACGAACATTCTGGCTATGCGACTGGGTCCCGGAAAGCATCTGCACAACCGTACCTTGCTCGATGGAGCTGTGGATGGAAAGGAGTTTGATTATCTCCACGATATGATTATAGTACAGGAGTTAGTCCGTGCTAATGCCAGAGGCTTCCAGGATGGCAATATGGCCGGTATGGCTATTAGTTTGACAGCTGTCCAACAATGGCTGCATGATCCTGTTCTCAAGGAGCGCCTCAATGATGAGGTCTTGTCGGGTCAGAAGAAGATGTGTTTGGCTATCACCGAGGCCTTTGCTGGTAGCGATGTCGCGGGTCTGAAGACCACCGCGGAGAAGACTCCTGATGGGAAACATTATATTGTCAATGGAACAAAGTCAGTCGCATCACATTTGTTGGTCGAAGTAAGAGATTTGCGCTAACATGGCCTAGGAAATGGATCACAAATGGCATGTTCGCCGACTACTTTGTAACTGGCTGCCGTACCGAGAAGGGCTTCTCGGTGCTTTTGATTCCTCGCGGTGAGGGTGTGGAGACCAAGCAAATCAAGACCTCATATTCAACTGCCGCTGCCACTGCTTTCGTGCAGTTTGAGAATGTCAAGGTCCCAGTTGAGAATCTCCTAGGCGAGGAGCACAAAGGTTTCATCGTTATCATGAGTAACTTCAACCATGAGCGGTTTATGATGGTCGCAGCCGTGGTACGCATGTCAATGATGATTGTGGAAGAGACAATGAAATGGTCCAACCAGCGGATTGTCTTTGGCAAGAAGTTGATTGAACAACCGGTTATTCGTCAAAAGTGAGTCCCTAGGATGATTTGTTGCCGATGTTTCTCTTCTAACGCCCGATAGGATCGCTCGCATGATCTCCCTAGCTGAATCTAACCAGGCATGGCTTGAATCCATCGCCTACCAGATGTGCAACATGACATACGCCCAGCAAGCGAAGCATCTGGGTGGACCTATCGGACTGCTCAAGTCCCACTGTACCCAAGCTGCAGGTGAGATTGCCAGTCTCGCCACGAACATCTTTGGTGGTCGTGGTATCACTCAGTCAGGAATGGGCAAGGTCGTCGAGATGTTCCATCGCACGTATAAGTTCGATGCCATCTTGGGTGGAACTGAGGAGATTTTGGCAGATTTGGGAGTGAGGCAGGCGATGAAGAATTTCCCGAAGTCGATGTTATAGAGGGGAGGCTTCTTGTCAATCAGATTACCCTTTTCATGAACTTAAGAGTTGCTTGTATGTTTTTGTATGCAGCTCTCCGCTTGGCCAAAAATAGAAAAGGCAAGTGGGGTAGATAGCTGGAACGGGATATCCTTGTTCCGACGCCACACCTTTCCCAAGGCAGCTAGCTCCAGGTGAGGTCACCTTGGGCATCAGTGAGCCGCATCATTACCCTTACCCCATCTCCTAATATTTTCTAGATTCTCTGCCATCTAGTATTGCACATTGGAAATCTACAAAATCTGTCACAAATGGCTCCAGCAGATGCCCTTCACCAGGATAATATCCTCGACCTTGCTGTCAGAGCTATCCAACCCGCAGGGGACAGACAGCCGAGCCTCAAAACACCATATGAGGCTGTGGCTCTGATCGGCCATGCATGCATGGTAGCAGTTGATTTCAGACTAGTCGGTCTCGGTGAAGACCACAACTTAGGTATGTCAGGTATCTTCTGATCCCAAATGTGTACTCTTATTAACTCTTCCAGAAACATCTACAGATACACCTTCCCTCCCCGCAGAATGGAACGCTAACGATACATTTGCCTTTCGGTATGCACATGCGCAGTCTTCGAAGCAGTATCTACTCAAAGTGAGTCGGCTGGGAAATAATGCAGTGATCTTTGCACTGGCCTTGGGCGATGACCGGACCAGCTCGTTCGACATCCCCCACAAAGACTACATCTCCACCTCCGCACTCCCTCTATCTTCCTCAGATAACATCACTGCGTCCTTGCGAGATGTGTTCATCTCGCCAACTAGACTAGGCGACTTGGTCAGTTTGTTCAAAATCAACGTCATCCAAAAACTCGCGCCCGGTTTGTACAAAGAGGGGTATGAAGATCCAAGCCAGCCGCCCAGAGCAAGGCCACAAGAAGAAAGGCAACCGGATATTCCCCAGGATGGCTCCCTCCCCGAGCCTGCCCGTCCACGTCCATTTGATGATCCCTTAGCGGCAGCTCCTCGTCGCTCCAACCCACCAGACTTTGCCCCTCCTGGGTTTGAAGATGAGTTTGAGATGAACCGGCCCTCGCGAGGAGGATATCCAGGAGGACTTGGAGGCAGAAGTCCGTACAACATCGGAGAAAGAGATCTCTATCCAGCAGGACTTGGTCCCAATGATCCTTTGCGCGGATCTATGGGCCCTGGTTTCGGTCCAGGTGGCGGGGGTATGCATCCTACCTTTGATGATCCCCTCTTCGGTGGTGGAGGAGGTGGTGGTAATGGTGGATATGACCCCCGTGTGCCTCCCGGTGCAAGATATGATCCCGTAGGGCCTGGGGAGCCACCTGTTGGTCGTAATCGAGGACCTTTCGGCAATAATGGACGAGGTGGGGGCGGCTTTGGTGGGTTTGGTGGTGGATTTGGCGGGGACATTATCTAACGAGTGACGAGAAAGTGAGACTGGAACAAAGAAGCAACAGCAGACGATTCTTTGTTCCTAAATGACTTAAAATCTTATTCAACGAGCTACAGCGATACCTCAAATGGCACTTTTGATGTCTTTCCTGCCGTACATTTTTGGTTACATTGTGTGGAACATCTTCCTATACACCTATTTTATTACCTTGTCAGAGGTCTTATACAGACCAACCACAACCAAGATATAAACACCGTATGTCGTTCTATACAATAGTGTAGTTGATACCTTTGAATTACGTAGGGAGTCCTGGAGAAAGCGGTGTGTGGCTGAAGTGTGGCGCATCTGTTCACCACTCTCAACTTGACCTTCCCGAACTCCCATCTCTTCTCCCTTTCTCGCGTTCCCAAATCCCATCCCCTTATCCCTAGAATCAATCTTGGGAAGTTGTCTTTTAATTGAATTTCCATCTGGAGCGTAATTATTCCACATATTTCCCAGACCCCACGATACCGGCGCCCATCCACGAATTCCGTTGTTTTCTCACGAGACCGCCCCTCCCCAGCTGGCCCCTCCTTTTCAGCCAGCTGAGAACACCGACGCAATGGAAAACAACATGGAAATCGATACTGCGCGGTCCCCCGAGCCACACCACCTGTCGCCAACAAGCGACCCGGGGTCCATACCGACTCTGGACGGCTGGATCGAGAGTTTGATGACTTGCAAGCAATTAGCGGAGGAAGATGTGCGACGGCTGTGCGATCGGGTTGGTTCCCTATTTTGACAGATTGATAATGAACTCAAATTGATCATGTATGCGTCTTCCAGGCAAGAGAGGTATTGCAGGAGGAATCCAATGTGCAGCCAGTGGTATGTTGTTTCTCGGTCGGGTTGTTGTTTTGCCCGCCCCAGCCCACTGACCTATTCGAACAGAAATGCCCAGTGACAGTCTGCGGTGACATACACGGACAGTTCCACGACCTAATGGAGCTTTTCCGCATTGGTGGTCCTAACCCGGATACAAACTACCTCTTCATGGGTGAGTGGGCGACGGTCGGATGAACGCGTTGTGGGGTAACGTTTTTTTAATTTTTTTCTTGATATAGGTGACTACGTCGACCGTGGTTACTACTCAGTTGAGACAGTGACCCTCCTGGTCTCCCTGAAGATCCGTTACCCTCAGCGTATTACCATCCTCCGTGGAAACCACGAGTCCCGACAGATCACACAGGTCTACGGATTCTATGACGAATGTCTCCGCAAATACGGCAATGCCAATGTGTGGAAATACTTCACCGACCTTTTCGACTACCTTCCCCTCACTGCCCTAATCGAAAACCAGATTTTCTGTCTTCACGGTGGACTGAGTCCATCCATTGACACTCTCGACAACATCCGGTCACTTGATCGCATCCAAGAAGTTCCCCACGAGGGTCCTATGTGTGATTTGCTCTGGAGTGATCCCGATGACCGATGCGGATGGGGAATCTCTCCCCGTGGTGCAGGATACACCTTCGGGCAGGATATTTCCGAAGCCTTCAACCACAACAACGGCTTGACTCTTGTGGCACGTGCCCATCAATTGGTGATGGAAGGATATAACTGGTCGCAGGATCGGAACGTGGTCACTATTTTCTCAGGTATGCTTTTTGCGTCGCTAGACTTGATAGAGATTCAAAGCACTAACCCGACTACAGCACCAAATTACTGTTACCGCTGCGGCAACCAGGCCGCTATTATGGAGATTGACGAGCATTTGAAATACACATTGTGAGCACACCTGTACAGCCCATTACTTATTGGGATATCCTACTGACATTATCTAGCCTACAATTCGACCCTTGCCCCCGGGCGGGAGAACCTATGGTATCGAGGCGCACACCTGACTATTTCCTTTGATAGATTTCATTTTTGTCTTTCCAGAGGCAATTGGACTGGCGGAGAATGGGGGTTGCAATCGAACAGGGCTCTCGCCTACTTAATTCTGTATGGTTCGATGTCTGGCCACTTGTTGATACCAATCATGAAAATAAAAGACCATTTGCAAGACCCAGTTCCATGAGACGATAGGGAATACGTTGAGGGTAGGGTATATTCCAGATTGCGTGTTAGTCCCTTCGTCTAGTTAATTGAGGTAACAGGACTCTTATCGTTGGTGTCGCTAGGACCTCAGATCATACACCCCTTAATAGGCTGGAATTTGCTAATAACTGGCACTAGATGATCGATAGCTGCTTGCAGCTTTATAAGTAGGCGTCTCAGTACGGGTCTTCTCCTCGTTGCTCGATGTCTCCTTGTGGCTTAGCTTATGTCATGAGAAACACCTCCATTTGGGAGAAACTGTGGCAACTACCTCGACGGCCCAATTTACGGCCCAACGAATAAATCAGGGTCTTCTTGTAGCAATTCGATGTTATCGAATTAAATCAAATCTTGGTCATCTCAACTTCACATGCGTAGGGTATGCTTTTGATGTGCTCCGAAGAGCTTTGATGGCAGGTTTGTCGAGGGTGAAGTAGAATTTTAATTATACCCTACCCTCAACGTATTCCCTATCGTCTCATGGAACTGGGTCTTGCAAATGGTCTTTTATTAGGATATCCCTTCTTATACGAAATAGCGGCTGCATTATGAGGAAGTTCCTTTTTAGACAGGCTAGCCCTAAAATCGCACTATCCGTGAATGTTATGACGCATTAACGCCTATGCCCTCGAATAATATACACCTTGAAATGCAATGTCTTCTCTCGGATTATTTTGTTTCTTCGGCCAGATCGTGGGACAAAGTGCTACCCTCACTCTCGATATCCCGTTCATCATGAGGTGTAAGAGAACTTCCATTCTCATCTCGTCTGTAGTGGCACACTTTCGAGCTTCCATTCGGAACCCAGAATCGCTGGTCAACACGACCGACGAAGAAGATAGCCACGACCGAAAAATCAATGGCGAAATTAAAGATATAGAAGCAGGCCTTGCTGTGATACCAAGCTGGGTCGGTGATAGGACGAGGTGGCATCCAAGAGGTACCGGCACGGAATGATGAACCCAGACAAAGCAACGAGCCAACAAATCCGACGATGAAGACTTTAGCGACCGAGCTACCAGAACCAACCTGTTGGATTTGCTTTCTGTTTCGAGATAGGAGGACAAGCAAGAGAAGAGGAAGCGGTAGGAACGAGATGATGGCGAAGTAGGTCTGACCGTAAAGCTGGATATCGCGATCAATGCGAAGGATGTTCGGGTTGAGAGTGTACGAGCTCTGAATAACACAAGTGATGACCATGATAATCGTCGCCACGACTAGAGCATACAGTGCTTTGAACGCCCACGATAATGGTCGGGACCATCCGAGGACCGGGTAGACAGCTCGGAACATACGCTGTACGTATAGCAAGTTCAAGATGAAAAGCAGCAACACGCCCGCTGCGACGAAGATCTGTGCTGCGATCGCGATGCTAGCGTTGTTCGGGCGACAGGCCCAGGCGATACGCATGATATTTGCGACAATACGCGACATGCAGAACCCAAATGTTACGCCCGATGGAACGAATTTGTGGCCTCTTGCGAGGTTGCGGCGGAATAGAGTCATGTGGCAGGCACCACCGTCTATAAAAAGGGCGAGGAAGACGGCGCATATTGGGACATCCAGGGGGATTGTTGGTCGACCTCCCACTGAGGCTATTTTGGACATATGGGGTCCTGCCATCTTCTAGAGTTGACTGTAGGACTGAATGTTGGAGAGCATGTATTTCTTTGCTTCTGAGCCTGTAATGTGTTGTAGTTCATACAACATACGATGTACAGAGATGTCCCCAAGTCTTATACTTTAGTCCCCGAGATTCTATATTTTCATTTGAAACAACCTTGTGTGTAATAATATCTCGCAGGTCGGCCTCTATTTGACCCCGACAAGTTTAAGATTCCCCTATTTTCAGTCATATTTTAACGACTTTCATTGAAGATGTTGGTGTTAGGAGCCCTCGCTCCCGGGGCTGGTCGGACACCGAAACGCCGACCACCGAGTTTTAGTAGACATAACATTTGAAGGTTGTAGGTTTCCAAGCCCTCGAAGACAATGACAGAAACGATCGTAGCACAGGAGTTAGTCCAACTCCGACCTCGATGAAGTCAAAGATTGAACAATCAGAGCTGAGGAAGCTAAGCCAAATTGAGCGCAATCCGCGGGGATGTGGATGTTCTATAAAAGTGGAGAACAAGTTTATATACTAACGACGACGACTCAATCTGTGTAAATCCGTTTAAATGTCATAAAGAAAGTTGATATCTGCTCATGTACAAAGGCAAGACGCCTAGGAAATGGAGTGGTTCTTCGCCTTCTTAGCCAAAATCTCATCAACCTCCTTGGCATGCTTTGAGAAATTGTCCACTAAGCTATCCCACATCTTAGGTTCATGCTCATGCTTCTTTTCACTGTTCCATGCATAATCAGTAATTGTGAAGGGACGGCAAGATTCGAACATGAATGCAATCGACGCCTTGGATATCTGCATCGCTGGCGGTGCGTTATCAGTAGCATCCTTGAACTCTTCGTAGGCAACGCCATGGGGAACCACTAGAGAAAGTATCAGCATTGACGAATATTCGATGGGGGAATTCCAGGATAATCATACTGCCACATTCAAACGACACACTTCCCGGCTTGAAATCGTCCGATCGGCCACCATAGCCGCCGTAGATTAGACCCATTAGTTCGGATGCGGCATTGCGGTGGTAATAGGGAGGCCGATATGTGTCTTTTTTTAAAAAGATTATTAGCAAATATTCATGAATCAATAAATTGATCAGACGTACGTGAGGCAACATCCCATCGAGGAGAGAAAGTGAGGAGATCAGCCAGAGGTGCGGTGAGATCGCGGGATTTGGCCGTGAGCACACAGAAGATAGATGGGTCGATATGGTCCACAGAGATGGATCCGACGTTGACGAACTTGGTTAAGTCGTATTTATAGGGGACCTAAACAACATTAGTTTGATTGAGGTTCAATCATCAGAATTAAAACCAACTCACATAGTTTCCGTGCCACGCTACAACATCATATGGGCTGTGGTTCTGAGTACTCCTGAAGAACTTGCCTCCAAGCTTGTAAATGATTTCCCACGGTTCTTGAGCCACCTCATACTGAGCAACAGGGCTCAAAAAGTCCCTCTCATTTGCAAGTCCATTCGCACCAAGGGGTCCCAGCTCAGGGAGCTCAAATTGCGTACCCCAGACCTCGAGGATATACCCACGCGAGGGACCATCTGGAAGATTGACGCTAAAGCGGATACCGCGCTGGATAATAACAATCTCACCTGGCTGCACAAAGATGGGACCGAATTCAGTTTGAATGTCGAGTGCTCCTTGTTGTGGAACAATGAGAAATTCACCGTCGGAGTTAACAAATGCCTTCTTCTTCATGCTTGTGTTGGCAACGTAGACATGTGTGGCTAAACCTTCGCGCAGTGTGGGATCACCCGAGCCGGCAAGAGTCTTCAATCCTGAAACGAAGTCGAGTTCTTCGCTTTCGGGGATATCAAAGGGGTGCCATGCCAGCTGGGTGGGGGATACGTGGATGCGCGGGTTCAAGGGTAGGAAGTTTGCCTCGGTGTCTTTGTTATCTGGGAGCTCTGTCTGCAATAGATGTCAGCCCCGACATGTAGAACGAAGAGCAAGGGAGGCTTACGAATCCTTGGTGGGCGACAGCGGGGCGGACACGGTATAGCCATGCCTTTTTATTGCAGTGTCGTGGGGCGACAAAAGCAGTGGCTGTCATCTGTTCCGCGTAAAGGCCAAATCTCACATTGCGAGGATTGTTTTGGCCGTGAGGGATAGTTCCCGGAATTGCTTCAGATGTGAAGCTGTTCAAGGGTTCTCAAATCAGTATTTCGAACCATCAACCTTAAAAGACATGTAGTAGTCTATGGAAGAATACGTACGCATTTCCAAAGCCAGATTGATACTATAGAATAGTTAGTGAGTAAACATAGTAGATATCATGATGGGGCAACATACCTCATAAGGATCGTTACGCCTTGTGTTGAAGGAAGGGATAGTTCCATCCTTTTGGGTCTCAGCCCAGTGGAATATCTTCTGATACTCCTCGGGGTCCGACAAGGAATCAGTAGAAGACATAGTGATGAAAATGGCCAGAAAACGAAAATATGAACAAACTAGAAGAGTAGTGATTGTTTTATTGTCTTCTAGGTAACACGGGGGGGGGGGTGCAACACCTCTATATATGTATTTCAACGTAAGTGATCGGATCAGACTTGTGGGGTCAGTCCAAAAAAATAGGAAAAAGCAATAACAAGAACACAATCCATAAGACAATCCATTGGATTGGTCTATCCGGGGAGAAATATACAAGCACGGATATCCCTCGGTACACCCGGCATAGCCACGAAGCATCAGCTGAACCCGCGATGTTGGTGTATGTTGTATTAGATGCCCATAAATCGGCAAAGTCATGGTCAATTGACTTGCCGGGCTCCCCGTTGAACCGGCTTTAGGCTATGAATTGAGGAGAAATATCATTCTCATATGAGGAGGCAAATGGACGACCCCACATGAGTAAGGGCTGATTAACAGTGGAGGTTTGAACGGTGGAGAAAGACTGGATTTAAGGGTTGAGTTGGTGGACGGTTGACGGGATTAAGAGGCTGATTCAACTGCCGAGATGTAGGAGTGTGGTTCAGTGGTCTCATTACTACGACGGTGTCGAGACAACTGACGAATTCTATACACAACCAATAAAATTATGATATTGCGACAAGATTTAACTGGATTGGATCTATATTGAGTCTGTTATTTTAGACTAATTTAACAAACTAATTCTCCCCGCAGTCAAAGCAAAGACAATAGGCATATACGTGCCAATTCCTGCTTCCTTGAGCACCTTGCAATGCTCAACTCTTCGACGGGCAGCGAACTGCGATTCATCAATCTCCTTGCACTCACCCAGAGGTCCAAAAGCAAACCTTGCATCGGTAGACCAAGGTCCATCACCATTGACAAACTGAATCCAACGCTGCCGCATCTCCTTTCCAACAGCGCTAGCCGCAGGATTGAAGGATAGATCAACGCCATCGAAGAGAAACAACAGATCAACGGCATGATGTGCACGACTGGAAGGTTGCCAGGGATTAGACTGGTCGATCACATATCGGAAGACACGCTTGTTCGCCGCGAGTAACTTGTCGGTAATGACCTCGACAGGAAGAGTATACCGAACATCATTGACGAGATCTAGAGCTCCCAGCTTCGCAGCGGTTGGGCGATCACCAACAATTTGGTACATTTTTCGAAGCCCGGTGCCCCATTGCTTGTCATTGTCGAATGCAGCTGCGATCGTTTCTCCGTCGAGAAGCTCGACGCCGTTTCGCCAAATAGCAGACTAAAGCACAAATTAATAATCTCTCAAAAGGACCATTCGTAGCCAAGGCTTTACTTACCTCGTACTCAACATCACCAATCATTACTTCCTCAACCTGCTCAGGTTTGGTTTCCCAATCTGATAGTTCAGCCTCCTCTTGGATCCACATTGTATTTACGTTGCACTCTCGCATTGCTTGGACCAGTACGGTAACGGAGGATTCGCGCAGGGAAGATTGGCCAAGCTCTTGGACCTTCGCTTCTAACCCTTTGATAAGGCCATCTCCCTTTTCAGCCGGTAGCGGCGAGGACAAATAAAGAGATCCAGATGCCATAACGGCCCTTTTCACAGGAGGGCCGGTGATAAGGTGGGCATGGGTGTAGATAGCACCAGCGCTTTCGCCCGACAAGGTGATATTTTCCTATATGTAATGTAATGAGCAAAAGTCACGTATTCGCAGGAAACGGTGAATATCTGACTTACAGGATCACCCCCGAAACCAGCGATATTCCGTCGCACCCAGTCGATACCGAGACGCTGATCCTTCAAAGCCAAATTCTTCTCTTTGCCATCTCCAAAACTGAAGATATTTAGGCGGTAATTGATGGACACAAAGATGATAGGTTTGCCTGCCTTGATAGAATCTGCGACAATCTTGGTCGGGTCACAAACCTTGGAGGCAGCAGAGCAGAGTGTGACGATCTGAGAGCCGCCATGTATCCAGATAAGAACAGGAAGTGGGCCTGCTGTAGAAGACTTGGGAGGACATGTAACCTCTAGATTTAGGCATTCGAATTCATCCTCTGCCTCGGGGGCAATGACGAAGTCCTCCGGAATACGGAGGAGATGGCGGACATCTACATCCGGTTGAGGACATATCGGACTATATCAAATGTCAGTATATGAATTTAGCTGTCTCCCACGCATGGTCTGCTTCTGTCTTGTGTAAATACGACATACCCATATTTCGAGGCATCAACAATAGCCCCATTGAACCCGCGCATAGGCTCAGCCTTCTCGAACCGTGCCGGGATACTGGCGTATTTTATACCGAGGAATTGATGAACGGGCACATTTTGGTCATCACGCTGGATGCCCTTGAATATGGCATTCAGGGATAAGTGTTGGATTGAAGCCGCCATAGTTAAGTCTCAGAGTCGTTGGAATTGGATATTCAATAAAACACGGATTGGAAGGCTCGGAAGATATAGGTGACATTCCATAATCACGGCTGATGTGCTCTCAAACAAGTCCCGAGTCCATAGTACCCGTCTATAATCTTCGTGGGGCTGCGGGGAACACTTGTGGGGTTCGAGTAGGGGAATTTTAAGGGGAATTTAATAGAACTATTTGTTTAACTATTTTTTGTTTAATTTCGGTATTTCTATTGGGAAATATTGTTAGAATAATGTAATGGTGTTGGATGTGTATGTCTGACAATTCGGGAAAGGCTGTAACAAATTATGCTAACATACATAGAAAGTATGAAAGATGAAGTATTTATAAGGTAGATCTCTTTTTTTTTGGCCTTTGTCAACTCATGGGCCAGGTGCGCTGTCGGTCAATTGGACTTCATGCTCTGACTCGACCGGCTCTCTCAAGATCCAGCCACCCACGAACAACAAGATTGGGATAGATGATATGCCAGCTATCAACCCTATTGCCCATCCCATCGCCCCCCAGCCAGCCTCCTGGCGAATAAAGCCCGCGAAGAATGGCCCGATCAGACTTCCAGCCGCGAACCCCATATTCGACAGCCCAAAGGCTAGAGCCATAGCACCACCGCGACCGAAGATATCAGGCGTTTTATCCTCTTTCTCCTTCACGGCAAAGAATACCTCCGCAATGAGCGGTGGCATAGCCACGGCAAAGCACAGCCCAACACAAGCCAGGAGAGCACATAGGAGAATCTTATGCTGCATCGAGTTATCCGTGACATAACGCAGAAGCACCAACACGGGAACGGAAGCGAGGAATGCCCCTGCAGCGAGATAGCGACAGGATTTGGGGTATTTGTCTATGATGTACCCCGTCAGTGGGTCTAGTACGTGTGGCACCATGAGCGAAATAAAGATTAGCCCCTGGCCACTTTGGTGCCACCCGAATGTCTCTTGGACGAAGAGTGGAAGGACACTGTCAAATGAGGTGAGGACGATTGATAAGATAAAATATCCCCAGACAGATACGACAAGACGGGGCGAGCTCAATAAAATGGCGACACGCCTGAACGCACTCCGGGAGGGGGAGCAGGCGGCTGGGATTCACGAGATTCAGGGCCATTACTGGGCGGGGTAGGAGTTTTTGAGGTTTGATTTGAATTCTTTTCCGCTGATTCATCTCCATTCACAGAGAGCGGCCTCATCTCCGGTGCAAGCCATTTGATAGCATGTCTTCTCTCGATCAAGAGCAATCGCAAGATGATATCGAGGGCGATGAAAGCGAAGGCAAGGCCAAAAACGGCATAATATCCACCATGTTCGTAGACAACTCCGCCAAGAAGAGGTCCAGCTAGTGTTCCAACGCTAATAGCCATAGACACATATCCAATCGCTTGGCCCAGATCGTCTTTTCCGACAGTGTCTACCATCAGTGCCAAGCCGGCCGTCCATACCACCGCAGCGGCAGCGCCTTGAAACAAACGACCAACAATCCACAAGCCGATATCAGTGCCAACACACAGAAGGGCTGTTGCAGCGGCCAACGCAACGAGACCAACCAGCAAAGGCCACCGACGGGACTCGGCCCGATCAGCGATGTACCCGACAACAGGCGCAAAAGCTAACAAAGCAGCCGAGTACAGGGCAAGAAGAATTGATGTCCAGCTTTGAATATCCTTATCTGAAATGCCCGCTCTGTCTTTCAATGCGGTTGGCGTGACCGGTACGATAAGACCGTACATGAAGATGTCCGTCCCAGTAGCAAAGGCGACGACGAACATGACAAACCGTCTTGATGACCTTAACTCGACGAATTTGGGCCTCTTTTCCTCCTTCTCATGTGAGAAGGGCCACGTCCATAAACCCATGGCAAGTCGAGGTTATGATGTGAGAGTAGGAATCGTGATCCGCGTAAGCTGGTCAGATCGACCTCTCAGGCGAAAATGGACTAGCCCCTGTGACGTCGGACGTCAAGGTAAAGAAACGTAAATAGATATGTGCAATGCGCAATGACCGTATCTCAAGAAGACTAACCCCGTCTGGTAGGAAAGGAAGATGAAACAGCCTTGGAAGCTTCTGGGTCTCAAATGGTCCGGACTCTGTCAATTGATCTCTGATCGGATCCCGCGGATCCCGCAAATCTCCCGAGATTTCACGTGTGTTTTGGGGTTTTTGGTTCTGATATAGTAGTTAACTAGTATGTAGCATGTATGTCTGTCAAGTAACACGATATTTGGAATACATAGAAATAAGCCGGAGTTTTTAATTGAGCGGTTGAAATTGCTACTTGACGATCTATACCGGTGGCCGATCAACCGACTAAATATACCACAGGCTTAACTCTCTCATTGGATACTGTCCTCATATACTAACAAGAATAGTCGGTCGCTTATACGACTTTAAGTACGTATAAAGGATACTCTAATATATTTAATATTTGATTTAATTCAATTTCTCTTTTATTGCTACAATACATATATTATATGTATTATCACAATAGTACGCCCAGTCATTCTCTTTTAAGCCGGCATATCTCCTTTTATACGGGACACGGGACACGGGACAATTTATAGTTAACTAACTAGTTACATGCATGTATTACACCCTGTATATTAAGGAGACGCTTAATTGTCAAGTTGGTCTTTCTAATAGGCAAAGTATGACGACTCTTTAGATAGAAGGCTTCAATACTACCTAGGTACCAATAACTAGTTAATAATTGTGCTAGGCAATATTAACCAATGGGAGAATTATGTCCCACGTGGGCATATTTAACTAACTAACTAGTTAGTTGTAGTTAACTACAGGTCACAGGTTACTAACACCGAATGACCGTCCCAAGCACTCAATCATAAACGAGCTTTAGGCGCTTGACTCTTCAGCAAATCCCTCAGCTGCCTACGCAGAATCTTCCCACTAGGCGACTTGGGAATTTGCGACAAGACATGGATACCCCCGCGCAGACGCTTGTGGTTGGCAATACGCTCATTCAGCCACACGTGGATCTCATCGAGGACAACCTTCTGATCCCTGTCTTTGGCCTGGCGACTCAACACCACAAAACCAACCGGCAGCTCAGTGGCCCTGTCATCCACCCACATTCCAGTCACAGCCGCATCCTCGATGTCGGGGTGGTCGACCAGCTTTCCTTCCAGTTCACTAGGGATTACCTGCAGACCCTTGTACTTGATCATCTCTTTGATGCGATCGTGAATGGTGACGTACCCATCTCGATCGATGGTTCCGATATCGCCCGTGCGGAACCACCTCGCTCCATCCTCGTCCACGTGGAATGCCTCTTTCGTCGCGTGGTCGTTATTGTAATACCCCATCACCACGTTCGGACCACGGCACCAGATTTCCGCGGGTTCTGTGGATCCGTCAGATGTGATGGCTGCATCTTTCATCGACTCGGGATCCACGAAGCGGAACTGCATGTTCGGCACGATGCAGCCCACGCCCGTGTTCCGCTTATCCATGCGGTCATTTGGGACGGCGGTCGCCATTGGTGATGTCTCTGTCAGACCCCATGACTGGGTACAGAATACCTCTGTCTTTGAAATCTCTGTGAACTTGGCTTCGAGGGCGGATGATACTTCGATTGTAAGCGGTGCCGCGGCAGATAAGATCCTGCGCACGCTGGTGAGATCGTATTTGGAGACCCGTGGGTCTTTAACCAACATCAGGGCAATGGGTGGCACCACTGACAACTCGTCTGGTCGGTATTTTTCGATGCAACTGAGGTATAAATCGAGGTCGAATCTTGGCATGATGACCACCGTTGTGCCCCAAATCAAAGACTGGCACATGAATAGGTTGAGGCCATAGATATGGCTGAACGGCAGGAATGCAATGGCGGATTGTCTTGCTGGCCGCTGGGAGGGAAGACCAGAGTCCAGCATTTGGTGACGCCATTGTTGGAGGTTTGAGGTGATGTTCTGGTGTGTTGTAATGACACCCTTGGCTGCACCTGATGTCCCAGATGAAAAGCAGATGAATGTGGGTTGGCGATCTGCCTCGGCCGGATCGATAGTGAGGAAATCACCGGGGGCGAACGTGCTGGCGAGATGATTACATGTAGGTTGGCCATTGACTGGTGTTTGGCCATCTATCAGCACTACTTTCTCGACAAATGTCCCCTTGGTTGCCTTCGTGGCAGTCTCTAGCAAAGATGAATGGACGATGACGAATCTGGCCCCGCTGGTCTTGAGCTGAGCATTAAGCTCAAGTGCCGTCAGGGCTGCACTGGTCGGAGCAACTATAGCTCTGGAGCCGACAATTGCATGGCATACCACAGGGTAATCGATTGTATTAGGACTGAACAATGCCACGACATCGTTGGACTTGATGCCTATGCTTTGCCGAAGGCCATTGGACAGAGAACGTGTACGTTGCATCACATCTCCAAGGGTATATTGCTCTCCAGAGATGGCATTGATGTACATAGGGCGGTCCAGGGGTGTGTTGAAGGGATTTGAAAACAGATAAGACACCAAGTCAACTGATTTGATATCCAGATCTGGATACGGCGAACGGTAAATTGTCGGCATTTTTGGTATAGTATCAATTGCACTGAACTTGATTCCAGAGATATATGGAGTCAAATAATCTAACGATGGGGATGTTAAATATATATATATATATATATATAGTTATAGTACCTTCGGAAGCCAAACTCGGCATTGAGGACTCCATACAACATACCTGTTCCGTACCCAAGTGTGGACCCCCCGCAATCTGTCCCCGCGTTGTGTTCTGATTGGACCAAATTTGGACTTGGATGACTTTCAAGGGTTGCTCTGTCGGTGTCGGTCCTTCAACTTCCTCGGTTCAATAACCTCATCGTTTGGGTGGTTTTTATAGGTGTGCCTTCGTATCTAAGAAGGTAGCCAATGACAAAAATCGCAGGATGAAATTTCTTGGTTGGTTTGCTCTGTTTGTCTTGCCCCCTTTCTCATCACATCAACAATAAGTCGCACCGCTTAGTTACGCGGCCTGGTGTCTTTTTGGTCGTCTATTTACTTGACCTTTACATATATGTTGTACAGAAGCAGAAATTACTGGAAATGAGACTGATACCAGGATCTGACACCTACTGAATATGATCCTACCTGGGCGCTCACTTATCACCCGCTCCATCATCCGCAATGTCAAATATCCCACACTGCAGGCCCAGCCCTGCGGTGTAGACCTCACACTAAAACGTGTTCTCAAATGGACATCGCCTGGAATAATCGACTTGGATAACCAAATTCGGCAACCGGCCTCGACTGAAGAGATTCCCTTTCCCTTGTCAAATGAAAATACGAAGCCATATTTAGATCTCGCGCAGGGTTCTTACCTCGTGGAATTCAATGAGACCGTTTCAGTTCCTCTGGACGTGATGGGCGAGATTTTCGTTCGCAGCTCATTATTTAGGTCCGGGGTGACTATACATGCTGGCGTTATGGACAGTGGATATGAGGGGTCTGTGGGGGCGTTAATGCAGGTCGTCAATCCCACGGGGTTGCGACTGTATCCTGCTGCGCGTCTAGCGCAGTTTGTGTTCCACCAGATGAGTGAGAAAGTCGAGGGTTACAATGGAGTTTATCAAGGGATGACAGATTTGAAATAGTCAAAGTATCCATGGAACTGCGCCAGTTGTCTTGTAGTCCATATCTTCCCCAAGTTAATTCCTCAAGTAGAACAGCGCACCGCTGCTATCAGTTGAACTAAACCCCGGAGAGGAGTAGACCACGAGGTATAAGGTCAATAGGCGTGAATATCCCCCTTTTGAAGCCCCGTTCCAACCCGACAACTACCACTGCCTTAGCACTTGTGTCCAATACGCCCAAGGAAACAACAATTCTGGTACAAAGTTAGAAGACAAATGAACGGGGGGCTGAAAGGAAAAGGAAATCTGGCTTACCCATCTATACAATGGGTTAAAGAACGGCTGTACAAGACAGATAACTGCAGACAAGAATAATTGATTTCAATCCTATCTAAACACCAACTAAAGAGACCTAACTATAGGCCTAGTGCTATATATGGCATGTACGGAACCACATAACTAACTAGTTACTATTTGTTGTGTTAGTATCATGTTATCCCCAGAAGGCCACAAAACCAAAGAAATAACTGACCCATCACAGAGGCTTAAATATCCCCTTCTTGACAGCCATGTCCTCAACGTCCTTCAGCCACTCTGTACAGCGGTAGAGCGGGGTACCAGGATACAGTCGGGTGCCCTTGAGGGTCACCTGAGCCTGTGGGGGAAGAACTGCTAGGCAACATCCCTCTCGGAATCTCTCCAGGTCTTCCTCTTCAATGGTCCCAATCTGTTTCTTGGAGTCTGGCATATGTTCTGGCAGCACTTCTGGGTTAGGTGTTTGCCTGGGTGTGTAATCCATGCCGTTCAGGATTGTTCCAGTGACATGGTGCAACCAGCCCCTGTCTTCGGTTGGATCGGTTTCGATGTAGATCGCGATGTGGTTTATCTGCGCGCCGATCGACTCAGTAGTGAAGACTTTGAGAGCCATGGTTGATGATGTATGTGATTGTGTTGTTTGGAATGATATTTGGATGCGAAAGCTCGGCTTTTTAAAATGGATGGGTTGGGTGTTTCTTTCTCCATGTCACGGAACGCTTAAGTATATTTCAGTCTTGCCTGAGGTCAAAGGCGACTACACTCCTGTGATTCTATCCACAAAGATTTTGTTAGACATGTTTCATGCCTCTTAAATCCTTGCATACAAATCAAATGAGGGGAAACGTCATCACTTTGTGGTCTAAGAGTACAGTTCCGATAGTCATTAGCAAAAATAATCGGCTGCTCATGCGGCCTGTCGTTGAGGGCATAAGACTTGAATATTGGGACCAAAATGGT